ATCTTTCTGGCTCTTTTTTCGAGCCGGCTCGATCTGTGAGGGTCCCGGGGCCCGAAACGGAGCGATACATCGCCCGCTGTGAAAAGCTGCAGCGCCAGGATGTCAGGGAATGGGGATGGGGGATAGCTTGGAGCTTGGACGATGCGGATCGCCGCGAACGCGGCGGCGTTCAGCGCCGCGCAGCGCACGTCGTGTGCGGTGGGGGCGCAGAAGCCCAGCAGCAGCGCGTCGTCGCGCCGCGCCTCGGCGCGGGCCAGCGCCTCGGGCAGCGCGGCCCAGCGCTCCGGCACGAGCACCGCGTCGTCCTCCAGCACGACGGCCCAGGCCGGCGGCGGGGCGGACGCCAGCACGGCGCGGTACGCCGCGGCGTGCGAGAGGGCGCAGCCGAGGGCGCCGCAGCTGACGCCGGCACGCAGGTACCACTCCAGTGGTGGGGACCCAACCTTCGGAGGCCTGGAGCTTGACACCAACACCAGTATCTTGGGGGAAAAAAAATGGCATAAACATAAAAACTCGGAGGTCCGCGGGGATTTCTCGGATCGGCGCTGGACCCCCCTCCCTGGCGCGCGGAGCGCGCCAGGGGCCCAGCGCCGATCCGAGAAATCCGCGCGGACCCCCGAGTTTTTATGTTTATGCCACCTTTTGTTCCCCTAGTATCGCCGGAGCGCCTCCGCCGAGGGACGAGGCCCCCCGACCTCGCGGACGGTGGCAACAGGTTCGGGCCGTTCTTGGCGGCCGCAAGGTCATACCACCATCGCCGAAGCCTGGGATCACCTTCCCCCGGTGGAGGCGACCCGCTGTGTTGGTGTTGGTGTCCATTCCCAAGCCTTAAGTCGGGCCTGTCCTCCTACAGGGGGATTTTGGACAACAAAAATGTACATAGTCAAAAAATACCCCAAAATGGTCAAGCAGATACTTACAAAGAAAAAAGCGTTCCCAGACTACTTTGGATATTTTCGAATATTCCCCCTGTGGATTCAACAAAAAAGTAAATATTTTCGAATATTCCCCCTTTCGAATTTTCAAAAAATACTGACAAAAAAATGAAATATTTTCGAATATTCCCCCTGTGGAGGGACAGGCCCGACCTACTTCCATGCCTCCACGAGCCTGTGCCCTCACCAGGCGGGCGGCGAGCGCCCCCGGCAGCGCCCCCGCGTCGAAGCCGCGCGTGTCCACGGCGGGGAGCAGCTGCGCCCGGAGCTGCAGGCCCGGGCACCAGTGCCTGAGCGTCGCTCCACCGATCCCCATCGAGGGGGCCACAGGCGAACCCTACCCCTACCCCCCACGATTTCTGAGGGGGAGGGTGGGGTTCACTTCATTCGGGAGCTCCCGAGCGAAGTGAACCCCACCCTCTCCCTCAGAAATCGTGGGGGGTAGGGGTAGGGTTCGCCTGTGGCTCCCTACCATCCCCACCAGCGTGGGCTGGGCCCCGCTGGCCGACGCACCCCTTACCCCCCTCGATGGGGATAGGGGTCCTTCCCTTCGGGCTTCCAGGGGTGCCTCCCCAGCTGGGGTGGGCATTTCGTGGGGGCCTCGAAGGGGATGGGGGATGATGGGGGATGGGGACGGGGATGGGGATCGGCGAAACGATACGGAGTGCCCGCAGGCGCGCAGCGACCGCAGGATGCCCTCCACGTTCCTCTGCCGGTCCGGCAGGCCGAGGATGAGTACGCGCAGCTCGGCCGCCGGCCCGGGGACCTGCCGGGGCAGCCCTGCGGCCCGAGGCTGCGGGGCGTCGGCGGCACCGCCGCTCGCGCACAGCCGGGCCTCGACCTGCGGGTCCGTGTCGAAAAGCACACACAAAAAAAAACGGAAAAAACATACAAAACACACACACACACAAAAAAAAAAACACTAAACACATAAAAAAAAACACATAAAACACGGTTGTTTTTGTTTGTGTTTTTCCCACAAGCTCGACCTGCGGGTCCGTGTCGAAGCCCCAGGGCTCCGCGACGCGCCAGAGGCGGCTGAAGTCTGCGCACGGGCAGAAGGCGACGAAGCTGCCGGAGCCCTCGGCGTCGCCCCCGCCCTCGGCCACGACCCACCGCGGCGACGGCGACGCGCAGAAGAAGAGCCTCAGCCCGCGGTCCGCGTGCGCGTACGCCGGCCGCCCGCCGACGACCTCGCCGCTCAGGGCGTACCTGCCGTTGATGCACTGGTTCTCCCCTCGCCTTGCTACGGCTTCGGGCTGCGCACAGGCAGCCCCCCAGCAAAGAAGGCGGTCTCGGCACCCTGGGCGGCCACCTGCACGCAACCCGAAGGGGGAACCAAAGAGTACCGGTGCCGCAACTCCCCGGACCCCTCCTGGGCGCGTGCTGGCCAGGACTCCGAGGCGAATCCACTGTGGCGACGAGGGCCTGCAAGGTGGCCCAGAAAGGCGAGCACTTTCTTATGGGCGAAAAACATCTCCGTATCCGCGGCCTCTGGGGCCGGGCCCCTGGGCCGCGACCCCGCCGATGCGGGGCGGTTTGTCCGCGGATGCCCCGCGCGGAACGTCTCCGTGCGACCGCATATCCGCGGGATCGCGCCCCGGAATCCAGACTGCGAGGGCGCGCATACGGATATGCTCGCCACTCGTGAGAAGACGAGGCAAGGATAGTGGCATCAGCAATGAGTTCCCCAGGGCCGGCTTTTCATCCCGAGTCCTTCTTGGACGGCCCTGGGGCCTGGCGAGGGACCCCGGAGGCCGAAGATTGCCAAAAACCGTCCGCCGTGGCCTCTTCACGGTATTGGTACCTGTTCCTCCTCCGATCTCCTGCCGCTCACCACCACGGCGCCGACGGCCCCGCCGCCCTCCGGCCACCGCACCTCTCGGTGATGCTCAGCACGTGCGCCAGCGCCAACAGATGCGCGTGCACCCAAGCCCTTCAGCACGACGCAGGCGGCGTCATGAGAGCCGACGCAGGCTGCATGCGATCGGCGGAAGTGAACGGGTCAAACACACATTGAGCTGGCACGCTTTCTTACAGTACGCACTTCAAGACGCCGTCTAGTGCATGCAACACGTTTCGGGAGCTCTCATTTGACGCCTTTCGTCAGGCATGGGCCAGAGTGGCGTGAGCCAGAATGGCTACGAAGGGCCAGCGCCTGGCGAAGGGGGCCAAGAGCTCCCGAAACGCGCCGCATACACTAGGCGGTGTCTTGAAGCGTGCTTGTAAAAAATGGCTTGCAATCGGCCCGTATCATAAGGATGCGCGATAAGGATGCACGGGCCTGGGTCGCCCATTTCGAAGCTTTTCGAACGGGCCGCGGCCGGCGAAAGTGGCCAAAGATGGACCGAGGAGGAAAGATGCAAGGGTACCCCCCTTGGGAAGGCTACCCATCCTCACAATGCGGGTCACATGTACCATGGCCCCATGAACATAGAGATAGGTTCCCCGAGACCCGACGTAGCGAAAAGAATACAACACCGTGACAAACCACGACCAGAGCTCCAGACCCCATCTTTCTGGCTCTTTTTTCGGGCCGCCTCGATCTGTGAGGGCCCCCGGGGCCCGAAACGGAGCGATGCATCGCCCGCTGTGAAGAACTGCAGCGCCAGGATGTCAGGCGGGTTGACTGTACGGCGTGTGCACGTCGTATCGACCCCGGCGTTGGCTTCTGACACCGCGGGGATCGTTCAACCTTGAACGATCGGCCACTTCCGAAACTTCCAAATCGTTAGCCCGCTGTGAAAAGCTGCAGCGCCAGGATGTCAGGGACTGGGGATGGGGATAGCTTAGACGATGCGGATCGCCGCGAACGCGGCGGCGTTCGGCGGGTGGACTGTAGCCCGGCGGCGACGATGGGGGCGGATAGCCCAGGGGCGGGCATGACACGTATTCGCCCGGCGAAGACAGCGGTCATCGGCGCACCTGCAGACATGTGTTGCTCTCCCCTGGACTGTTCGCCCCTATCGTCGCCTCCTCCTCCTCCTCATCCTCATCCTCCTCCTCCTCCTCCTCCTCCTCCTCCTCCTCCTCCTCCTCCTCTCCTCCTCCCTCCTCCTCCTCCTCCTCCGCCTCCTCCTCCTCCTCCTCCTCCTCCTCATCCTCCTCCTCCTCCCCTCCTCCGCCTCTCTCCTCCTCCTCCTCCTCCTCCTCCTCCTCCTCCTCCTCCTCCTCCTCCTCCGCCTCTGAGTAGCCCCCTGCGTCGGGCACGGGCCCAGGCTTCCGAGGACGATCGAACCTCCCGGCGGCTGACGCGGGCGAGCTGCGCGGCCGCGGGCAGGGTGGCCAGCACCTCCAGGTCGACGGCCAGCGCGCGGCCCCGCCGCAGGGGCCAGAGGCGCGGGCGCTGCCAGCGGCGGCCCTGGCCCTGAGCCGCCTCCGCCTCCTCCTCCTCCTCCTCCTCCTCTCCTCCCTCCTTCCTCCTCCTCCTCCTCCTCTCCTCCTCTCTCCCTCCTCCTCCTCCCTCCTCCTCCCTCCTCTCCACCTCCTCCTCCTCCTCCTCCTCCTCATCCTCCTCTTCCTCCTCTGCCTCCTCCTCATCTGCCTCCTCATCCTCCTCCTCCTCCTCACTTTTGGGGCCCCCCTGCGAGGAACGTTTCGGAGGCCCGCGCGGACTTCTGGGGCCCTCTGCGAGGAACAAACAATGGAATAAAGGTAATTGCTTGGAGGCCAGCGCGGACTTCTGGGCCATCTTCGAGGAGCAGTGATTGTTGTTTTATTCAGTAGTTTGCCGATCGGCGCGGGCTCCAACAGACCCCTCTCCCCCCCTCATGGAGTAGATCTTGGCTGTAATTGGCGTATGTTTCGAGCGGGTGGAGTCTCCCCCAGAGGCCGCACTCTTGCAAACAGTCGCACTAAGTAGAGGTCTGGAGCCAAACCCCCGCTCCCCCCCTTCCGCCTTATGTCGAAACGCCGAAGAAGAAAACGTCCATCGAGGAACAATCAATGGAATAGAAATAATGTCTTGGAGGTCCGCACGGTCTTCTCGGATCGGCTCTGGACCACCTCCCTGGCGCGCGGAGCGCGCCAGGGTCGACGCCACAGGCACTGCCAGAGGGCTCCAGCGCCGATCCTGGACCATGTTTCTGAAATGTTTTGTCGCTCGCACTTCGGAGCCCTCGGAGCCCTCCTGTAGGCCTCGTGATGGGTGCTCTGGCGGCCTGGGCTTGGAGGCGGCCGGGGGATCTGAGGTGGATGGGGGCTCCAGGAGATCGTTCCACAGGAGGGGGTGTGGGGCGAGACCAGGTCCGCTCAAGATCTGTCCCTGGACCCCTGCTGGCGTCCATCTGGCGTAGTGTTTGCTCCCCGGATCCGCTTGGACGGTCCTGGGGCCCGATGACGGCCCCCGGAGGCCGAGAGAGGCAAGACACCTTTTCGACCCCAGCACCTCGGCCATGTTCCCCCTCTCTCTGCTTGCCCGCTCCAAGCCTGGCCCCCCCGAGAATCCTACAAGCCTCGCCAACACAACAACCAACAAATTGGGCACGCCGTTCAGAATCGTGGCGCTCGATACTTCCAACGCTTGCCAGAAAACGCGCGATCTTCAATGCTGTGAGGGAGTGGCCGGATTTCGGACACCGCTGCGCCTGGGCGAAATACCTCATGCCAGAATTGGTGTAGCGCCGATCTCAGGAAGGTCAGGACGAGGAGGAGGGCCAGGAAGAGGAGGAGGGCCAGGAAGAGGAGAAGGGCCAGGAGGAGGAGGAGGAGGAGCGGGAACAGACGAGGAGGAGGAGGAGGAGGAGGAGGAGGAGGAGCGGCCCCTCCATGCGACCGAAAACAGGAACTGTCTGCGAGTCTTTTAGGGGCACCTTGGGCCAGGGACACATTTGAGCAGCGCCCGAGAAGTGGCGATGGCAGAGCCCCTGCGGCACGCCCAGCTCCGCCGCCTTCACGGCCGACAGCTGCCGACCCTCGCCGCCGCCCTGCCATAACCCCAGCCTACAGCAGAAGAACAAAGATCTGCGCAAGCATGAACTGTCGGAGGTCTGCGCGGAGTTCTGGAATCGGAGATGGTGGGACCCGCGTGAGTATACGCACATGTACACATATATATATATATACACAAGACTACATTGGCGCTTCGCGCCATGCACCTTGTTCCTTGTAGTTTCGAGTGCAGGCGGCGTGCGTGCGCGTGGACATGGGGCGGGCCACCGCCAAGTCGGAGTGTGTGAGGAGTTCCTAAGCGGGAGCGACCGAACAACACCAGCTGATGCCAGCTCAGGGCGTTTCGAGGCCCAGAGGCGCGAATATGTCTCAGGCGAGTGGTTGGGCTAGCATGGAGCAGGGCATTCTCCTCCTCCGCTGTCTCCTCTGTCTCCTCCTCCTCCTCCTCCTCCTCCTCCTCCTCCTCCTCCTCCCTCCTCCTCCGCCTCCTCCTCCTTCTCTCCTCATCCTCCTTCATCCTCCTCCTCATCCTCTTCCTCCTCCTCCTCCTCCTCTTTTTCCTCACTCCACCTTCTCTCCCTTATCCTCATCCTCTTTGGACAGGATGGCTCAGCGGGCGCAAGCCGAGGCCCACAGAGGCCCAAGGCTGGCAGAAGAAGGCCCAAAGAATCGAAAGTCAATGAAAACCATTGGAATTCCATGTTTTTGGCCTTCTCGCCTTGTCGCGTACGATCGGCGCCGGAGGCGTCAAGATAGCCACAGGACGGCTCCAAATGAGCCCCCAGACGAGCCCCAAAGAGGCTCAAGGCTGGCCTAAGAAGGCCCCAAAAATAGAACATCAATGAAGACCCATGGGAGAATCAATGTTTTTGGCCTTCTCGCATTTCGCTTACGATCGGCTCTTGAGGCGTCAAGATGGCCACAGGACGGCTCCATATGAATCCCCAGACGAGCCCCAAAGCTGGCCCAGCAGGGCCCGGAGAGTCGGAAATCAGAAAAAACCTAATAGAAAAGCAATGTTTTCGGCCTTCTCGCCTTTTCGCTTCCGGTTGGCTCGAGAGGCGTCAAGATGACCCCAGGATGCCCGCAGAGAGGCGCAAGCCGAGGCCCACAAAGGCCCAAGGCTGGCCGAAGAGGCCCGAAGAATAAAACAAATGTGAAAATCCATTGGAAAATCAGTGTTTTTGGTCTTCTCGCCTTGTCGCTTCCAATTGGCTCGCGAGGCATCACGATAGGCCCAGGACGGCTCCAAATGAGTCCCCAGACGAGCCCCAAAGAGGGCAAAGACTGGCCCTAGAGGACCCGGAGGTTCGAAAATCAAGTAAAAACTGTTGGAAAAGCTATGTTTTCGGCCTTCTCGCTTTTGCGCTTCCGATCGGCTCTGGAGGCGTCAAGATAGCCACAGGACAGCTCCAAATGAGCCCCCAGACGAGCCCCAGAAAGGCCCAAGGCTGGCCGAAGAAGGCCCAAAGAATTGAAATCAATGAAAACCATGGAAAAATCAATGTCTTTGGCCGTCTCGCATTTCGCTTACGATCGGCTAGGCTCTTGAGGCGTCGAGATAGCCCCAGGACGGCTCCAAATGAGTCCCCTGACGAGCCCCGAAGAGGCCCAAGGCTGGTCCAACAGGGCCCGGAGAGTCGAAAAATCAGAGGAAACCCAATAGAAAGGCAAT